CCGCGCTCTCTAGAAAACGAACCCCCCTGTTAGCTTCATCGTGTCATAACGGCTTGCTCCTGCCGTACCCTGTTCCTGCTCTCCCCACGTTCCTGGACGTGGTGTGGCAGGATCCTGCCTCGAATCCCCCACGCTCTAGAAAACAAAACCCCTGTCAGCTTCGCCGTGCCAGAAAGGCTGCTCCCACCGTACCCTGCCTCCCACGTTCCCGCTGCTGTCTCCAGACAAGGGAGTGAGGCTTGTAGTGTCCAAGGCAGTCCAGACTGCGGAAGAGCTGTGAAGTTGTTAGCACAGGGTGTGGCTCAAGTGCAGTGAAATAAATGCTCGTTTCCCTCATTTTTTTCACTCAAGCCCTTACTAGCCTCCCAGCTAGAGTTTCCCAAATGGCATTGTCCATCTGGATGTTTTAGGGTGCCTAAAACCTTTAAAAATGGCATCTGTGAATGCATATCATCAGCATACAATCAATCTGTCTAGAGTGTAGGTAAACTGGTTGGAAGGCGATCTGTAAAGTTATGACTGAATCAGATCAAAGAAGCGGAAATTCTTGTCCCAGCTTGACTGCTTTCTGCATGGCAAATTCCCTGTATTCCTTACGAGCTTGGGCCTGGGCTGGTGATGGGGGACAGGGTGGTGGGACAGGAGATCCTCAGTTGCTCTGTGGTTGTTCCAGAAACACAGCAACCTGCACACGTGGAGATTATAGGGCCAGTTTCTTACAGGGTCTCCTTTTCCAAGAAGGAGAAGGAACATTCACATGGGGGGGGGAGGTTTAAAATTCAGGTTTATAGTGCTCTTTCTGAAGCTCATTTTAAATCCTGGGGGGTTTACTCACTGGTGACAAAGCTGTGATTTGAACTAGCAAAGGTGGTTGTTTTTCACTAGTTTTTAAGGCATTTTATAGACTCTTTGTAGGAAGGAAGAAATTGCAATGGCAAGACATAAAACCGTAATACATGAGTGTAGAACCCAGATGTATGTGCAATATATAAGCCCATCCAACTAAAGAAATGGGTGCAGTTTGCTGCCTACCATATCTCCATGTCGCTGCAGAAAACCATAGGTATGTGTTGCATATTCTGGGAGACCAGGATAGAACACAAGTTTATAAATAGTCAGTTTGAAAGAGAACTGAAACTTATTTGCCTGTGTATGGCTGATGTCAGACAGAGAGTAGTGCCAGAATTAAAGGTGAGGGAAACACATCACACAATTTCAGTGTAACCCTTGAAAGCTTTGCTTGCTGTGGTTTGGTGTCTTTACAGAGGAATGTACTTGAGGGAGAGGAGACCAGACTGTATTTCATTGCTTCACAGTGGTGTAGAGTCCTGTGCTGTACTTTCAGAGTGCCATCAGCACAGGCTGCTATGTGGCTTTGCTCTTCAGTCTTCTGCTGCAGAAAGCTCCTGTCAGGAGTAAGCATTATATAAACTCATCTGCTTTACACAGTGAGGACAAAGGAGAGGATGTGGAAGTTCAGTCTTTAGCATAGCAGCATTCTCAGGGAGGCCAAGGTCATTTGGTGTTTAAACACAATGTAGTATGACAGTTAGAGAAGACATAGTTGGTAGCTCTAGATACATTTTTAATGCAGTATTTGTGGTGTTAAATCTTTCAAGGGCTGTGTCTTCAAACCTTTCCAGCCACCTATGCCAAAGAGGCAAACTCACATGTAGGTTCAAACACAAAACAACTGTGCAGTGAACTACTACTTTAAAGTTGTGAGTTTTGCTCCTCTCGTGCAAGGGATTTACTTTGGGCCTTGGTGGCTCTTGGTTAGGACCAGTCCATTTTGTTATATCAGAGCTCATTGATCTTTGAGTGCTGGCCCAGCTGGAAGTGTAGGAGAATAGCTTCAACTTATACTGTGAACATGCCCGAATGCAGTAGAGGAGCAGGTACAAAGCCCTTCCACTGTGGAGGGGTGGGATCAGTCATATAGCAACAGAGACCTAGCCCTCTGGAGAGCTCTCGTGGCTATTTCCCATGCCTTTTCTTAGACTAACAGGTGAAGGTAGTCACAAATACAAACTTGATGATTTGATTGGAATGCCTCAAAGAGAATAAATTCTGTTATAAGAGGGGCAGGAGAACTTTCCTGTGTTCTCCTGTTGGATTTCTGGTCAGGAGAGGCTTTCTCTGGGGAGCATCAGAATGAACGACAGCTAAGACATAGTGACAAGGAGCTTGGTAAAGTCAGTGTCAGGGCTGGTGCCCAGCTGCAATATGTATGGCGGTATTGCCTTCTCCAACCCTTCCCCTTGGTTCATTTCCAGTTTTGTATGTGAGCCCTAGACAATACAGGTGTAGGGAGTGTAAAGTCTTCAGAAACATTTTTACAGCAGAGGGGAGGAAAAATAAGTCATCTTTATGGGTGTTCTTCAAACTGCGGGGTTGTGTTGGAGCAGGGGCAAGAGTCGTGGCCAGGCTCTACAATCCTTATACAGTATAGACTTCCATGAAAAACTAAGAAGGGTTTGGACAGGGATATGCAAAAATCCATACAAATAACTTATTTTCTAATTAGGAAGTCTGTTAGGTCTTCTGAAAACGATTCCTAGGTTCAGAGTCAGACTGGAAACTGCTGGAGCCTCTTTCAGTTGAAAAGAAAGGAAAACAAGCTCTATGTATTTCTTTCTAAAGGACATTTAAAATACACTTCTTTCTGTTTCTAAAATAAAACCACCCCTCCAGCTGTGTATCTAATCAGTAAGCATGGCAGCCCATGTGGCATGACTGATTAATATACCCTTTAGACACAGGGAGTAGTAAGGCAACATGTATTACTCAGCACTTGCCATCCTGCCAAAGCCTGGAGGTATTTTCTACGTGATGGATTCCTGTTGCAGCCAGTGGGAGTTCTTACATTGCTTTGCAAGGTTTAAAAAAGTACAACCAACACGCGCACGCACACACGCACGCACAAAGATTCCTCCACAGTCTTACGACCGAATTACGTTCTTCCCTAGCCTGGATCTTGCCTTTAAATATGAGATTAAATGAATGCTGTGGCCATTCAACCCTTGCCCTTTTTCCTCTTGCTGCTGCTAAAAGCAGTTGTAGTTTTTGTAGCTGAGAAGTTAAATAGTGTACCTGATCCAGTGGTAGCACCTTTGTGTTAACCTGAGGTAGATGCAAGGCAGCTGCTGTGGCTTCATTCTCTGCCTGTGTACATTGGCTAGCAGGTCAAAAGAGGTAATTCAATGCTGTGGCCATTCAACCCTTGCCCTTTTTCCTCTTGCTGCTGCTAAAAGCAGTTGTAGTTTTTGTAGCTGAGAAGTTAAATAGTGTACCTGATCCAGTGGTAGCACCTTTGTGTTAACCTGAGGTAGATGCAAGGCAGCTGCTGTGGCTTCATTCTCTGCCTGTGTACATTGGCTAGCAGGTCAAAAGAGGTAATTCTTCCCCTCCCCTCTCGTGAGACCCCACCTGGAATACTGCACACAGTTCTGGTGTCCTCAACATAAGGACATGGAACTGTTGGAGCAAGTGCAGAGGAGGCCACAAAGTTGCTAAGAGGACTGGAGCATCTCCCCTATGAGACAGGCTGAGGGAGTTGGGGCTGTTCAGCCTGGAGAAGAGAAGGTTGTGTAAAGACCTCAGAGCACCTTTTCGCCTTGAGCAACCTGATCTAGTGAGGAGGTGTCCCTACTCATGGCAGGGGATTGGAACTAGGTGATCTCTAAGGTCCATTACAACCTTTAAATTCTATGACTCTATGTTCGCTCAGAGCATGTGGGTGTATGCATGAGTGTGAATAATGAGCTACTAAGTATTTAGGACATTAAAGACTTCGAACTTCTTCTTATCTTAAAGAATAGTCAAGAAGAAAAATCTGTGTGTCTCAATTGGTATTTAGGAGCAGCAAAATGTCATTATTACTAGTCACAGCTCCCTATTCCCACTCATTTTTACTGTTTCTTTTTGTTGTCTACTGTGAAACTTCTCTTTCATGTTCAGGAACTGGAATTGGGTATTACTGCCTGCTGAAGTCTAATCCCAGCTTTTCTGTATTCAGAAACTGTTGCCAGATGTTCTTTAGGTTGTGTCCCCCTGCCCCTCTTATGGACTTGTGGTCCGTAGAGCCAGGAATCTTATAGGAGAGGGATTGTTCAGGAGTCTGCATGCAAACTCTGGAGGCTTGAGTACCTTTTTCATTGCCACAGATTTCCTGGATCATCTGTGGCAGGTCAGTGAGGCCAAGAATCCTCGACAGATGTGTCTGTAGAGCTGTAAGGCTCTAGATGCTGTGCCTCCCATATCTGTATGCCACTGGGTTACCTCAGGTAGGGAGCAGGAAGGGTTGAAAAGTGTACATTTCATTTGGTAACAAGGGCTCTAAGGATCTTGGACACAAAGGGGAAGGATCAGATTACAGGTACTAACCATGTGTATTTCTGGTTTAGGTGCGTTCCCTTCAAACCACATTTGGAGACTTTGAATCCATGATGAAAATTGTTCAGCAGAAGCAGGAGGTGACTGAAAAGGCTGTTAAACAAGGAGAGAGTGAAATAAACCGGATCAGTGAAGTGCTTCAGAAGCTGCAAAACGAAATTCTGAAAGACTTGTCTGATGGCATCCACATGGTGAAGGATGCAAGGGAACGAGACTTCACATCTCTGGAAAACACCGTGGAAGAGAGACTAACAGAGCTAACCAAATCTATAAATGATAACATTGCTGTATTCACTGAAGTCCAGCAAAGGAGCCAAGATGAAATCAACAGTATGAAAGCAAAGGTTGGTTCACTAGAACAGGCAGATGTGTATAAACACGAAATTCAGGTGCTAAAAGATGCTTTGGATGAGATGCAAGTGTCCATGAAAGTCAAAGAAAAGGACATAGAGACTTTGAAGAGCACAATAGACTCCATGGAGTCTGATGTGTACACTGAAGTGAAAGAGCTAGTCAACCTCAAACAAGAACATGAGAAGTTCAAAGAGGCTGCTGACACGGAACACCTTTCATTAAGGGCTTTACAAGCCAAAGTTCTGAGAGCTGAGGATTCTATTATGAGTCTCCCAAGTGACATTCAAAGACTTGAGGAAGATTTACTGCAAATTAAAGCTAACCTCAACAAATGGGAAGATAATGAACTCTTCAGAAAAGCATTAGTAACCTTTGGGAAGAACGGTGAAGGTCTGGAGTCTCGATTGAGGCACATAGAAGATAGCCTGGAGTCTCTAACTTCTGATGCTGCCCAAAAGAGTGAAAAGTTGCAGTCCTTCCTTTCTAGGGAAGCAGAATATGAGAACAAGCTCAGGGCCCTAGAACAAACCATTACTGCTCTTCAGGGACTCACAAATACAGATGTGACTTCAGTCACAGACCTTCTGAGAAACCTTGGTGAAGCACAGACCTCGCTATACAACGACGTGGAAGACCTGAGGAGAAGCATCAGTGACCTGCCATCCTCTGGTGCTCTCCAGGATGTCCAGAAGCAAATTAGTACTTTGTTGGATCAAGGAAATCCCCAGACAGGTCAAGCACATCCTCAAGGCTACCTTGAAAAACTTTCTTCTATGGAAGGCTCAGTAGATGAACTGAGATCTTCTGTCAGTCAGGTGGATTCTGATTTGAAAATGATAAGAACTGCAGTGGATAGTTTAGTCGCCTACTCAGTGAAAATTGAAAATAATGAGAACAACTTGGAGTCTGTGAAGAGCTCAATAGATGACCTGAGGAATGACCTGGAAAGGTTGTTTGTGAAAGTAGAGAAAATACATGAAAAAGTTTAGGCAGTGGTCGGTGCTCCTTGGGCAGATAACAGATTAAGAAGAATAGCTTTTGTATGCCCTGTTTTTTACTCTTTTTAAAATGAGTTTGATACCTCCAAAGAGAACAAAAATACTTTAATACTAGAGACAGTTCTGCTTATTTCCTTTGTTTCTTTTCTGTGTAGTGTTTTTTTTGGGGAGGGGTTTGTTGTTCGTTTAGGTTTTTTCCTTAAGTTTTGTTTTAAGAAATCCTGAGTTTAGTCGGGGGTTGAATTTCTAAGGGCTCAGTTTCCCTATGAAGTTTTACCACTTTAAGTATAGTGGTGTAACTCAGGCACTACAGCCTCGTTAGCATGAGCACATATTTCATGGCATGAAGGTGTTTTGCACTGTGACACTAGATACCCCACACAGAAAGGCTAGAGTTGCTCTGGTACCAAAAGCAGCACTGCTGTGCTGCTGTACACACCACGGATTTGACCGCTGTGTTCTGGTTTAGGAAACAAATGAGCAAAAACTGCAACGTATCTTAAACTGTTCAGACTGGTGAAACTGAAGCGTGGAGCAGGATTGAAGCACTGCATCTGTTCCTGCAGTTGGGGACTCAGCCATGTGGGCAGTTTACCAGGTGTCAGCTGAGCTGTAGTGCATTTCTGTGAGTCCTTGATCTGTACCAGGGAGCTGGAAAGGCCTGAGGTAAGTGACATTGCTTGGGGCTAAGGCCGAAGGTTCTACCACGTGGCTGGAGAGATTCATTCTTCGTGAGCACAAGCTGCGTTGCCAGTGCCTTCTGCTGGTGCAGAAGATTAGTGCTTAGAAGAGACATCTGGAGGATGGGAGTAATGTCAAGAGGGTGCAGTAATATTTTCCTCGTGTGTTTAGACTGTTTACATGCTGAGGCTGTGTCTTTCCTGGAAGAGCCTAATTTGGTCTGATGTAGAGGGTTTTCTGTAAAAGTGATGACAACTAGGAAGGAGAAGGACCAAAATGGCAACTGTTGTGTTCCATACAAGCATGCGAACAACAATAGTAACACTCCAAAGCACACAGTGGGGAAAATCACCGTGAACTCAGCAGAATTGCTCCTAAGGCATATACATTTCCAGCTTCTCACACAGCTGACAGTGACCTGAACTCATACTATATATTCAGGACTTGGTGCTTGGTTCTTTTCACCATTTTTGTCCCCAGGTGTCTGATGGGTATTGGGAGCAAAGGATCCTTCTAGGAAATGGCTGAGAGTGAGAAAAAAGTGTCCTAATTCCCTAAATGTTCTTTTAAAAACCACTTTCTTGTGGGGCTTTTTTGGTTTTCTGTCTTTTTGGGAAGGATTTCAATATCCCTCCCTTTTAAGTTTACTTTTGAACTTTATCCAAAGATTTGGTAAGGGAATCTGCACGTGGATACCTTGGAAGTAGGTCGTGGGCATCAAGCCCATCTCAGCCTGCACTAGACAGATCCATGACTAAGTTAGACGAATGATTCCTAGGAACAGCACCTCCCAGAAGTGATGTGTTTGTGGGAACAGCACAGGTGAGAATCAGTTCTGTTAGGTCAGTGAGATACTGAACCATATCTAGTGTTGTTCCCACTGCAGACAGGAAGAAATTGCTGGCAAAGGAAGAGAGAGCCATGGCATTAAGGGAACTGTTGTCGCTGTTGGAGCTGCGCTGTTCTTTGTTGACTTCTCAAGTTCTTGAACAATGTTGTTTAGGTTACTGTGAAATGAAGTGTATGGCTTATTTGCAGTATTTTTAATACAGAATAAACATTTGGAATATTCTTTGCACCTTTGTTTTTTGGATTGCTGCTTATCGTATTTCTCAGGATGCTTCCAGTGGGATACAGGGAAGGGCTTGGGGAAGCAGCAGATGTGCTGCAGCCCTGTAGTTCTCAGCTTCCACAGGGGATTATGGATGCACTTTTACTGTTGTGGTCATGAGCCAACTCTTGAAAACAGGGTTTGAGTCAGATCAGTCTGGTGGTGTTGACCACCAGGGCTCAGAAGCCCAGGATGGTAGTGGTGAGGTGTGAAATAAACAATCT